TATTGTGCAGGAATTGAAGGACAATGGGGCCGTGCATCGTATCATAGGACATCAGGATGGTGTGTCTATTTGATGTACCTTTTCTCTTGTCACGTTTGTGTACTTAGCTGTTGCAGCATTGTTCCGATACAATGCACCGAAACTTTATTCATACTGTGCAGACCAAGTCGACCAGCTTCTTTCGCACCCGGCGCATGAAGAGCTTGAGCGACCTTTTGCAAACTCTGTCTACACCACCTTCACCGCAAACATGGGACCGAAATCAGCAACGTTCAAGCACGTCGACTCACAGAACGATGCACATGTCTGGTGTGCCATAACGAATGGTGGACGGTTCGACTTCAAGAAGGGTGGTCATATGGTTCTGTATGATTTGAAGTTGATCATTGAGTTTCCTCCTGGATGTACCGCAATCCTCCCCTCCGCCTCAGTGTATCACAGTAACACCGCCATCGGTCCAGAAGAGAGCCGCTATTCTCTTACCCAATACATCAATGGAGCGGTGTCTCGATGGATCCGGCATGGATTCAGGCCTGCGAGTGCTTTGACCCGTGCCGATCGGGAGCGTCTCGATGGTAGTGCTGAAGATCGATGTGAGACTGTGCTGGGTATGTTCTCGAATGTTGATGAACTTGTGAAAGATCGTGAATGTCTCATGTAGCTTAGATATGCTTTGAAGAATTGTAGTGTTTGCGTGCTGCTTCCAGTATTTACAGTAACCCGTTTATTCTGACTCTCACACCTTTGTTCTGAAATGTGGGCGGCCAGCAGGATGAACCAAGGATGAACAAATGCTGCAAAAAATCAGAAACCAGTGGAAACTCCATTTCTCCGGTGTAGAACTCATGTTTAAGCCGATAACTAGCTTTGGAACACCCCCACTTATCTTCATACATGATTTTAAGCATAGCAAGTGCATGCCTGGCTGTTGTGGCACTTCGTCGCGACGTGTTTCCCACGCCAACGTTGACTTTGGATGCGATCGCTACATCTTCGTTCGCATCTCTTTGTTCGTATTTGTTCACTCTGTTCCAAGAACGTCGTGCCTTTGTGAATAGGTACACATATGAGGTATGTCTCTCAATAATATCCATTTGTTCTCGCTTTCAGGATCAGAGCAATTGAGGAAAGGCCTCTCGCTCTGTGCACGCACGACGATATCGCCGTCTGAATTTGCTCTGACACTGAAGCAGTGAGAAGCTTTGCATATGATCGCTAACATAGAGTTCTCCTTATATGCCAGAGAACTCGGCTCGGTACGCCAGTGCATAGCTCGACATATTGAGCCGTAGATTCCTAGGACCCTGCAAGACCTTTCTGCTGGCACGTCTTGAGTCAAGGCCTTCCTTTATACCAGCGACACCTCTGAACATGTCTCGTACATGCTCCCCCTCGTCCCCCGTGCCGGTTCTTCATCCAGCGTCACCTCGACCGCAGTGAACCCCGACATGGATTTTGCGACGAAGGTATCTGTGTACCGGGAGTGGAAGCGTGACGTGTCCGATTGTTAGGCGACTGCGATCGCAGAGCACCTCCAGCCCTCCTTCATCCTCCAGCACATCGCTTGCGTGTACTCGCTCTACCACAACATTGTCGCTCTCGGCCCATCTGACGAGAGGATCTGGGAGTACATCGACATGTGCTGGGAGAACTTCAGTGTCACCATTGCGAGGGCGAACGGGCGGGAGATCGAGATCGAGTTTGGATACGAGGAATGAAGTCAGTCAGAGTATCAATTCATCACCATGTACGTCTTCTTCTGTTCATTCCTGTTTACCGGCCTCTCTTCTTCTCGACCTCGTCCCCGCCTGTTGATCTTCGGCATCGCTGCATAGTCTCCTTTTTCACCATCTGCACGTGCCAGTCGTGTTTCTTCTCTCCTCCCCATTTACTCCATTCTCCCTTCCCGTTCCTCGCCCCGACTCTGACCCCCCTCTCCCTCTCCAAATCTAACCCCACATGCCACCTCGCCCCCTCCTCCGTCCACACCACTGTCCCGGATGCTGATGC